CCTCGGAAGGAAGATGGGGCAATCTACTTCTGTAGTGATACTGCCTCGGAAACCCAAGGAGGGGTCGCTATGAGTCGGGTCCGACTCAACGGCACATAACAACAACAACATTATTATCCTATTTGTAAAATGTAAGAGAGATTTATTAAAAATAGAAATGATGTCTAGGATACTTTATTGGTGTTCGTTAAATTGATAAAATGATACTCTTAGATTTTAGAATGTATGTAATTAGATAGAATATCATTATGATAATTTCTTTGACCCAATATAATTTATATTTTTTAAACTTAAGTAAATAATTCCAAATTTGTAGTATCCCATTGGAGTTGCCTGAAATAGCAGTTTAGAACTCTGATTTAACTTTTTGGACCATGATTTATTCTTTGGGTAACTTTTTGTATGATGTAATCCCTATATTGTTTCACTTTAACTCTTTATCATTAATATCAATGTCATTATATACCCATTTTTGTCTTAAAAGTTACTGAATTTTAATTTTTTTCTTTTATTTCTGTTTTCTTTCTTTCTTCCTTCCAAAGCAATATTGTAATGCGAGAGCTTGCTCCACAGTTTCATATCCCCTGGTCAATACCCTTAGAAGCTGAAGATATCCCAATTGTCCCAACTACATCTGGGACTATGTAAGTTTGAATGTTTTAATTTTGAAATCTGTTGGATTTTTCTATGTGCTATTGCAATGAAAATTAAATTTCAGAACGACTGTGAGACAGTTTACTGTCCATGTTTTCATATGATTCAGTATAAAGATGGAGAAATAGATTATGTGCTTTTACAAGGGTCCATCTAGACTCATATATTTTATATTATTACAAGTAAGTTCCTGAAAAATGCTTGGATAATTATAATTATTATACAGAGAGATATCTGTATAGTCAGATATTATATTGCTTAGTATTATCTCCCCTGGCTTCTTATCAGGATTTGATTGCATAAAATTATGACTGATTTTTATAAATATGGTTGCCAATGGAACATATTTTTCATTTTTTTTATCTTAGGATGGAACTTAGATGTGTTATAGCTGTCATACGTCATGGGGATCGAACACCAAAACAAAAAATGAAAATGGAAGTGAGGCATCAAAAGTATGTTTTATGAGGAGCAGTTTAATGCTTATGAGATTATTTAAGATTTCTGATACATGATAAATTCTTTTGATTAATAATCTATGTGGAACAACTTTGTTTACCTATTGTTTCTTGGCCATTAATATGTAAGTAAGACCTTAGATGGCACAAATGGTTAAACACTCAACTACTACCTGAAAGGTTGACAAAACTCACCCAGAGGTGCCTTGGAAGACAGGTCTGGTGTTCTGTTTCCCACAGGTTACAGCCATGAAGACCTTATGGAGCAGTTCTATTCTGCACACAAGGGTTGCTGTGAATCAGAATAGACTTGACAACAGCTAACAACAACAAAATTTAAACCATTCGATTCATCAAAATTAATCTAAAGTAATTGTAAATATCAGATTCTGAATGAAAAATATGGCAGTATCTAATAAATGATCATAGTCTAATGTGACTTTTATTTATTGTCATAAACAAAAACAAAACCAAACTCACTGCTATTGAGTCGGATCCACTCATAGTGACCCCTCCTTGGGTTTCCGAGGTGGTATCTTTATGGGAAGTAGATTGCCCAGCCTTCCTTCCGAGGAGTGGCTGGTGGGTTTGAACAGTCAAATGCCTTAGGCACTACACCACTGTTTATTGTCATAGAGGTGTTCTATTTATATTTGGCCTCGGTTGCTTTCTCAGAATCTTTAGCTTCTCAACTCTCTAGAAGAAAATCAGTAGAATTAAAGTTATTTCTATTCAGTGTTTGATTTGGAAATGATAAAATATAAAAATCTGAGCCATTAAATATGTGTTGAGACTGTTATTTTTTTAATATGTGTGCAGTGATGAGAGAATATATAATTTTGTTTTATCATCACGTTCAGTTTTCATCATGAAAAAGCTGTTTTAATATAATATTGTGATTAACGATTTGGCATGGTTTAGGACAGAAGTAAGTCACCAATTAAAGCAGAAGGAGCACCATGATACAGCGAAAGAGGACATACAGTACTTGAAATCCATAAACCCCTGCAAAAACGGCAAGGAGGCCACGTGTTCTGACCTCCTCTAACCCTCCAAGAGGAAGACAGGATTACCAGCAGTAACCCAAGGCCTATTCCTGCCAGGCCAGACATGCTGCCTCCCCCCTCCAGCCCTTGCTCCAACCGTTCCTTCCGAAGCACCCACCACCTCCCTCCTGTGTTCGATAATTCGCTGCAGTGGCCACACAGCTCACAGATTATGGGGTTTATTAGGGAAGCACCAGGCTACAACTGAAGTTCAGGAAGAACACTCAGTCTCTCTCTCAGCCCACCGTCCCTCAGGCAACAGTCTCTTACAGTCTCTTTCCCAGCAGTGCTGGTCCCTCAATGTCTCACTCAGCAATGCGTGTCTCTTGCATCTCTTTCCCAGCAGCACGTGTCTCTTTCAGGGGCACGTGTCTCTTTCGGCAGCACGTCTTCCTCAACCAGCAGTCAGAGAGAGTTCCTCCAGGAGGCCTCCTTTTGAGCCTGGAAGGGTGGTCAAACAGCCAATCACAGCATCAGAACTCTAAGCACATGAGAGAGAGTGGGAACCTCCCAGAACATTGTATTGTGCCACGCCCAACAGAAATACTCCAGGTGGACAACTTCAGCAATCAGGAGCTCCTCAGTTGCTCATAGAACATCCCACCTTGGAGTTTACAAAGACTTATGGGTAGAAAAGCCACACTAAGTAATTTACTACACTGCAACCCCTAAATCCTAGTCACATATTTGTCATTTAATGTTACTGAGTTATGTAAGTATATGATGGTAATGTTAATTATATACAGGTTACTGACAGCATTCTGTCTTTTTTTTTTTTTTTTAAGATTTTTTGATCTTTTTGAGAAATGTGATGGATATAAATCTGGGAAATTGAAACTCAAAAAGCCAAAACAATTACAAGTAAGTTTGATTTCTTGTTTTAAATTTTTAATGATAAAATTATATAAAAATTTAATTTTATATTAATTTTTATTTCGTAGGAAGTGTTGGATATTGCACGACAACTTCTTACGGAGCTTGGACAAAACAATGATTCTGAAATTGAAGAAAACAAATCAAAGCTTGAACAACTTAAGACTGTATTAGAGATGTGAGTATTTTTTTGAAATCCTTAATGGTGATAACTAATTGAGACACTTCTTTTTTATATATTTATTTCTTACAAACATGGCTCTCTTCTAATTTCTTTCATAATTGATCTTTGTGTTCTTTATTGTTGTAGATGAGGAGAAATTAATGACAATCTGATAGGATTTTTATTCACCAGTGAGAAAATAGATTGTTGTATTGAAGCTTACTGTTTTATGTTTTAGTCTTACTTTAAATTTTGATGAAAAGATCCAAAGAGGACATCAAATTTGGTTTTTCTATGATGAACTTAGAATGAAGGCCATTTTGCTTAGGTGACCTACTTGGTGCTGGCCTGGTTGAGTGGCTGGGCAGCTGGATGTAGTATTCCCCATGATGAGACTGACAATCAACTCTATGGTGGGATCTACCACAATCAGCTGAGTAGCTGCCTTTGGGATGTGGTCTGCTTCCTTTATATAAAGAGAAGCCTTGGGAATGGTCTCTAGCATATGGCATGCTTGGACCCTGCTTGTAGCCATGTTGTTGCTCAGCAGCCTGCTATCCTCTGCCTACCTTGGGACTTACAATGGACTTGAATTATTGGCCTGCTGTGTGGTTTGGTAACATCGGGACTGTGCCTTTTTACTTGTCAACCTTGGGGCTTGTCAGCCTCAGCAGCCAGCAGCTGTCTGAGTGAAGAAATGCCTCTAGCTCCAGTAGGCCAGGAGCAGGAGGCAGAGCTGGATCCCAAGGCTGAGGGGCTTTCACCCAGCCCCTAGAGCCTGGCACTTTGAAAACTTGGACTTAAAGCCTCCAAATTGTAAGAATAAACTCCTGTTTGTTAAGGTCATCCCATTTGTGGTATATTCTTGTCAGAGTGGCAGTAGGTAATCAGAACACTGTTTAAATAAAAAACAGCTTGAACTATGCTTTAATCACTGAACTTGATAATCACCTATATTTTCTATAAGCTTTGTGTGTTTGAACACTAATAATCCTATACCTTCCATTTTTTAAAGACACATGATTTGTTTTTACATATTTCAATACTTTGTTTTCAAAATTGTCTAACTTTTATAGCAAACCATTTTTTTTTTAAAGGTGGTTAAAATGACTACCTATGGTACACATTTTCTGCTAGGATATTTTGAAGAACTCAGCAAGGCAGTTATAAATAAAAGGGGACATTAATATGTAAGATATAGTTTTTCTTTAGTTGGATTTTAGTTTTTCTTTAGGAGGTTACATCAACATTTATTGAGTATTGTGCATTCTGCTCACCATTTTATTTTTCAGGTATGGCCATTTCTCTGGAATAAATCGTAAGGTCCAATTGACCTATCTTCCTCATGGTTGTCCTAAAACATCTAGTGAAGAGGAAGGTATGTCACTATTAATGCTGTTGTGTTTTAACTATGTTTCGTGACTTAGTTCTTATTGTTGATTAGCTTTGAACCATCTTCTGGTTAATTGTTTAGGGACTGGCATGTTGAATAAAGGAAGTACAAAGTGTAGTTTTGTTAAATGTGCATTCTATCCTTTAAGTGAAGGATGTATTTTACTATTTTGAAAATTGCTTAAGACTTCTATTCTCACTCTGGGGATGTTTCAGAAAAGTTATTTATTTCTAGCTTAATGTTATTTAATGTTCCTTTTTCATCTTCTTTGGATAGATGAGGGTAGAGTATACAGGAAGAAAGTTCAAGAAGTATAAAAAGACTATACAAAAAAATATACAATTAACATGTTTATAAAATAAATTGATATTTTCTTCCACCCAGTAAACCAGAATAGTCATTTAAATAAGATCGGTCTACTAAGAGCAGTTAGCACCAAAATTTACAAATTCATTTACATTTCAAAAGAAAAATGGGTAAGATCATACTAAGCCATTGTTTTGAGAAATATAGATGGCCAATAACAATGAAATATCACTCTTCTGCCTATCATAGTGGCAAAGTGATTTAAAAAAAAAAAAAAAACTGGTAATGTAAAATACTGATGAGAATTCAGTATGACAGGATTTCAGTCTACTGATAGGAGTATAAATTGACCCAACTTTTGGAAAATAATTTGTCAAAATCTTCAAAAATGTTCATAATCTTTCACCTCATTTCTACTTACAAGAAGTAATCAGTTAATCAGGAAAGGACTGATTGATAGGGGTATCGACAATAGGGTTATATGTAGTAGCAGAATTGAAGTAATAAATATCTTAAATGCAAACACAGTTTGAATCTGTTAATCTATGTATTTTAAAATTTGAGATGTTTCTCGGTTATTACTCTTGGTGATTAATTTCTTATATCGTAATGTTTATGATCAGAAGAGAAGATATGGATCTTGCTATAAAGAATCTCTTCATCTATCATAATGTAACTCAATTACATTCAATATACCAGGCAACCAAGTATGAGAACAGGGAAGGAAAGAGCAGTGTTCTCTTTGGAAAATAGGGAATGCACCTTCTTCCAAAACTATGGAAAGGGATTGTGAAATTTTAGTAAGACTTGTAACAGATGGAACAAGGGGGTATTCTTGTCAGAAGCAGTATCCTACAAAGATAGATACTTTAAAGGACCAAAATAATTTACATATTCAACTCCAGAAGAGAGTACAGGAAGAAAATCTTAAAGAATGTTTCAAAAAAACAAACTTGACATTTGTTTCATCTATTCGTATGTATACAAGACAGCCGAAGAGAAGAACCATCTTTACTTTTGGTTTTAAAATGGGGAGGAGAATTAACCCCTGCTGGCAGGGTTCAGGCTGAAGAACTTGGAAGAGCTTTCAGGTGTATGTATCCTGGAGGTCAAGGTAAATCTTGGAATTTCTTTATGTTGGTAAAATTTGTATAATACTGTATTTTCAAATTCTCATTTAGTTAGAGATGTTATGAAATATATATAGAAGTACAAAGCAATAAAAATATGGCTTAAGTGATTTGAGGATTTATTTTCAGGAGATTATGCAGGATTTCCTGGTTGTGGTTTACTTAGATTACATAGCACCTACCGACATGATCTCAAAATATATGCATCTGATGAGGGACGAGTCCAGATGACTGCAGCTGCTTTTGCAAAGGTAAATGTTTTTTAGATTTACTAGAATTTTTATTTAAAATTGCCTTTAAAACCTTGGTATTTACTAACATAGGATTTAATTTAAACTAAATTCCAAATATTACTGACCAAAACCAAACTCATTGCTGTTGAGTCAGATCCGACTCATAGCGACCCCTCTTTGGGTTTCCAAGGCGGAAGTAGACTGTCAATCTTCCTTCCAAGGAGAGGCTGATGGGTTTGAACTGCCAGCCTTCTGGTTAGCAATCAAATTCCTTAGGCACTATTCCACCAGAGCTCCCAAATACTACTAAGGCAATATTTAAATTGGATTAAATTCCACATATTTAATTTAAAAATTCCAAATTTAGAAATTCCAGCTAAAGCACTCAAATGGCAATGTTAAAGTAAATTATTAATTATTAATAAAGTTTACTTATGAAAGTCTTCATGTAACAAAATTATTATTATATTTTCTTTTTTGCATATTAATTTTTTATCTGTTGGATTTGTTTAATGTTTAGGGGCTGTTAGCTTTAGAAGGAGAGCTTACACCTATTCTTGTTCAGATGGTAAAAAGTGCAAATATGAATGGTCTTTTGGACAGTGATAGTGACTCTCTGAGCAATTGTCAACAACGTGTGAAAGCAAGACTTCATGAAATACTTCAGAAAGACAGAGATTTTACTGCTGAAGATTATGAAAAGGTAGGTCTTGACAGACTCTTCTGCATTGGGAAATACTAAACCAAAAACCAGACCAAATGCACTGTCGTTGAGTCAGATCTGACTCATAGGGACCCCTCCTTGGGTTTCCGAGGCGATATCACTATGGAAGTAGATTGCCCAACCTTCCTTCTGTGTGAAATACTACATATACACAAATAAGTGCATAAATGTCAAACTTATTTGTATTATAAAGCAAACACTCATGTAAACACCACCCAGATGAAGAGATGGAACATTAGAACAAGCCTGATGACCCCCATATGTCCTTGCTAATTGCAACTCCTTTCCTATCTCCTAAAAATTATTACCCTGATTTTTTATGTTACTCTTTTTATAGACTTATATCCAGGTACTTGTTTGGATAAGTATGTGTCTTTAAATGCTGTATTCTCATTTTGACAGTTTTTAAACTTCATATGCAATGGAACTTGTGAGAGCCTTAACTTGATGAGACTGCCTTGTCATTCTGGGTCTCTCAGGTTTTGTACTGTTACAAAGTAGCTTGACCACTGTTCCTATCATCTCTAGTGGAAGTTATTTGAGTTTTCCATTTCTTACATAGGTTCTGGCTTTTTCAGGTTTTCCTGTAATAGAATAATATTATTCTATTTTCTAGTTCCTTTGTTCCATATTATGTTTGTAAAATTCATCTGTATTGTTGAGTATTTCCGTAGTTAATTACTTTTCATTCCTGGGTAGTAGTTATTCTGTTTCAAGTGTCAGCAAACTTTTCCTGTAAAAGATCAGATAGTAAATATTTTATCTTTAGCTTTTTTTAAAAAAAGAAAACTACCCTTTAAAAATGTAAGTCATTTTAGGCTTAGGCTGTGTGGCAGTTCACATTTGGCCTGTGGGCCATAGTTCTGTTTGATGAACATACTATAATTTACCTATACTTTCTACTATTGTTAATGGTTGTTAACGGTTCTGGTTATGACTAACGCTACTATGAATATCCTCTTTCATGAGAAATCTCCTGTCTTTTCCCCTCTACTGGTGGTTTGTGTTTTTCTTTTTCATTGGTAGAAAGTTCATTGTCCATTCTGGATATGACCTCTTTGTCAAAAATCCTGTTGGAATTCCGATTTAGATTAAATCTAAAGGTTGGTTTGTGAGAATGTATATCTTTTAGTTTAGTATTTCAATCTGTGAGTATAGTATAGTTCATCATTTATTTATATATTCTTTAATTTCTCAGAATAAGGTCATTACATTTTTATTTTATTTTGCTGAGAATTTTTATCATGAAAAATCATTAAGTTTTATCATACTTTCTAAGTTTTGAAAGATGTTATCTTATATTTTGACCTCCATATTGTTTCCTTTGAAAAGTCAGCCATTAGTCTTTTGTTGTGTCTTTGAAGGTAAGTCTATATTTTGTTTGTTTGTTTACTCCTTATGGCTACTTTTACATTTGTCCTCAGTTTTCAGTAGTTTTCCTATTATGTGTCTAGATGTGAATTTAAATATTTCCTCTGTTCCCTTCTTCTGGAACTCCAAATATATGTATATTAGAGTTTATCTCATTACTTATCCTTTCTTTGATTTGTTTCATTTTCCATCCTTTTATCTCTGATTTATTCTTGATATTGTCTTCTAACCTATATTCTAGTTCACTAAATTTTCTTTGGCTCTGTGTAAGCTGTTTTAAATTTAGCTTTTTTCAGTAAGAGAATTTCTGTTTGCTTTTTTAAAAAATCTATTGCCATTTTCTTAAATAGTTTACAGTTCTTTGCTGATTGTTAATGTTCTGTTTTCTGGAATATAGTCACTCTTTATTTTGAGTTTTTACCTGATAATTCTAATAGCTAGAGGTTCTTTGGTTGTGTTTCTTTTGTCTGTCCTACTGATAGCTTTCATGATGTGTTGTCTTCTTGTGTACCTGTATATCTTTGTTTCTAGACATTTTATTTGTAAAAATAATTTGAGCTTTAGGTAATATAATTATCCAATACAAATTTTATTTGTTCCTGCTATAGGAACTTCTGGTTATAGTGAACTGTGGCCATAGCAATCTGGAATTGCCTTAATCCAATTTCAGAAACATTTTTCTGGGCCAACCAGATGACTTTAATCTGGTTTGCAGTTTGTTGGTTGGCTTTCTTCTGATTTACCATTACTTTTTTGAAACCTAATTGCTGAGAATTTACCACAGCACCACCTTTGGTGTACCCGTACTCCACTTTTGTTCCTTTACCCAAAAAGGCTGTTAAAGCTCAACTCAGTTTCTTAGCTGTCTCATCACAATCAATAAATATCCCCAATGCAATGAAGCATCAAATGCCAGGCTCACTCTAAATCACTGGTTCCAGAGTTCTTTCCTACTTTTGTTAGCTGTCCTATGTCTTAAAGCAGAAGTATAGAAGTTATTTTTCTAGGACTTCTACTTACCATCAGTGGTAGAATTGGTCCAAACTACCTAGTTCACCATAACCAGCACTGGAATTCCACATTACAATTTTTATATTTGTAGGAACTTACTTAATAACATTAAATACACTTGCCCAGCTAAGTGTTAAGACTGGAATTTGGAACCATAGAGTCTCACCTTAGTCCATGTTTAAGTTTACTGATGTCTTTTGTTGACTTAGAACTATAGCCTGTGCTCGTCACGAAGGCAGAATGTCATAGTGGTTAAGATTACTAACTTGGTAGTCAGACTGCCTATGTTTCAATCCCACTTCTTCATATATTCCAAAAGCAAAACCAAACTCTGCCATCGAGTCAATTCCGACTTACAGCAAACCGCATTGGGTTTCCGAGGCTGTAAATCTTCACGGAAGTAGATTACCCCATCTTCCTTCCGTAGAGCAGCTGGGGAGTTTATTCACTATGCCACTGGAGCTCCTCCTATTCAAATATTAGTGCGTAAAAAATACAGATGTACTCTTTACAAGAATAATATCAGGAAAAGCATACTATTTTACAATTTTTTTTTCCTTTCACTTGGCATGGTTTGACTTTTGGCATGTTGCTTAACCTCAGTTAAGTAACCTCATCTGGACAAAGGTGATGATAATAGAGTCTTTGGCTTATTACATTATATGTAATATAATTAATTATGTCATGTAAATAAAACCATATGTACATATACTAATCAAGTCAGCAAATTGTCTTCAAATATCATTTTAAATTAGTGTCCCAAAAAAAAATCCAAAATCACTGCTGTCAAGTCGATTTGACTCACGGCAAATCTTTGGGTTTCTGAGGCGGTATCACTATGGAAGTAGATTGCTCAGTCTTCCTTCTGTGGAGTGGCTGGTGGGTTTGAACTGCCACCCTTCTGGTTAGCAGTCAAATGCCTTAGGCACTACGCCACCAGAGCTCCCTTAAGTTAGTGTACTTCTGCTAAATTTCTATATGGATGATCCAATCATAGTTAAAGTTTACCACTTTTTAACATGAAATTCAGAGGTTTTTACTTCATGCATGATCATCTTACTAGATTTTAGGAATTTTCTTAATTTGTGGTATGGAATTACTCCCTAGCTACTGAGAATTTTGTGGAATGGTATAATTTTCTTTTGGACACTTAGAAATAACCACTTATAAAGTGTATGCTTCACTCATTTGTAGCTTACTCCGTCTGGAAGCATTTCCCTTATCAAATCAATGCATTTAATAAAAAACCCTGTGAAGACCTGTGACAAAGTTTATTCTTTGATTCAGAGTTTGACTTCTCAAATCAGACATCGAATGGAAGATCCCAAATCATCAGGTAATTACTGTTTTTTCAAAAGTATGAAACAAATAAAAATTACTGATTACAAAAGTGTTTAAAAAGAAGATGCACCAGTCTTTTTGTTTTACGAAATCTAGCCTTTCTTTTGAATTCCAAGTAAAGTATAGGTTAATATGTATCCGACAAAAAAATAATTGCTAAGTTATAGTTGTTTTTGTGCACAACAACATGTAGGGAAAAATAAAACGTTTTCATTTGAGCATTCACTTATATAGCATTGCCATTGCCATATAGTTGTTCCACCAGCCACTCCTCGGAAGGAAGGTTGGGCAATCCTACTTCCGTAGTGATACTGCCTCGGAAACCCAAGGAGGGGTCGCTATGAGTCGGGGCCGACTCGACGGCACATAACAACAACAACAACATATAGTTGTTGAACTAAAGTGAATTGATAATAATGTATAAGCAATAAAAGGGTGATTAGGGCTCTGATTCTAAGACTGCTTGTTTAATAACTAGGGCAACTTTGGCATGTTGTATTTCTTACCTGTAGGATTGGAACATTTGAATTATTTGATTTCTAAGGTTCCTTTTAGTTAAATAGTTAGCCTGTTCCCCTAGTAATAAGAATCTAATAAAAATGAAAGCATTTAAAAATCAGAATCTGTTTGTAGAAGAATCCTGATCCAAAGGGAAGGGGGAGAATTTCAAATTCTCATGTATTCCAGACTTTTTGGAGCCACTAAGGCTGGATGAACCTCCTAAACTGTTACCCTAAGATAATCTTTGGAAGCTCTGGTAGCACAGTGGCTAAGACACTTGCCTGCTAACCAGACGGCTGGCGGTTCAAACCCACCAGCCACTCCTCGGAAGGAAGGTTGGGCAGTCCTACTTCCATAGTGATACTGCCTCGGAAACCCAAGGAGGGGTCGCTATGAGTCGGGGCCGACTCGACGGCACATAACAACAACAACAACAACAAGATAATCTTTAAACCTTAAACCAAAAATGTCCACTGAAGTCTTCTGTAAACCAAACAACAGTTTTGCTTAATTAGTATAGAATGTCTGCCATTAGCATTGTGCCTTTTGGCATTTGACTGTGAACTAGAAGGCTGGCGGTTCAAACCCACTAGCCACTCCTCGGAAGGAAGATTGGGCAACCTACTTCCATAGTGATACTGCCTCAGCAACCTAAGGAGGGGGTGCTATGAGTCAGATCCGATTTGATGGTGGTGAGTTTGGTTTTTGTTTTTTTTTTTGATATGTATGTGGGATCAAGATGACAGTAGCGACTTGAAAAGTTAGAAAGTTTAGGAGGCTGTGAATTTATGTCAGTTGGGGAGGAACAATTCAGAACACGAAGGTGAGAATGGTTGGGTAATTAGAAAAATGTAATCAGTGTTGCTGAATTGTGCACGTAGAAACTGTTAAATTGGTATATGTTTTGCTGTGTATATTTCCAACAATGATAAAACCAGAATCTAAAATATATTAGCTTTAAAGAGTTGTATTATTAATGTTGTCCATTTTCATATTATTTAAGGCCATAATATGTAGAAAAGATCACCTGTGCACCCAGTTCTTAATTCAAGTTTTATGTCTTTGTCCAAGTTTATAAAATATATGATTTCTAATAATATACGCAGGAGCCCTGGTGGCACAGTGGTTAAGCACTTGGCTTCCTGAAAGGTTGTCATTTCAAACCCACCAGCTACTCTGCAGGAGAAAAGACCTGGCAATCTGTATCACTAAAGATTACAGCCTAGGAAACCCTGGGTAACAGTTCTAGTCTGTCATATAGGGTCACTATGATTGGGAATCACCTGAAGGGTGCACAGAAATAATACAACAGTAATATTTGTAACATACTACAGTAACATTTCCTAACATGTTGTTATTTTGGCTTTGACATTTTAAAAGGTTTTTAATTATCAGTAATTTAATTCATATGAATTAGTCAGATTTTTACGTTAAATATACTAAAGGCATTATGTTATTTTAGATATTCAGCTTTACCATAGTGAGACATTAGAGCTTATGCTACGCCGATGGTCCAAGTTGGAAAAAGACTTTAAAACAAAGAATGGAAGATATGACATTAGTAAAATTCCTGATATATATGACTGTATCAAATATGATGTCCAACATAATGGTTCTTTGAAATTAGAAAATACAATGGAATTATATAGACTTTCAAAGGCATTAGCAGATATTGTTATCCCTCAGGTAAGTAATTCTTAATTTTCTTACAGTGTTTTATAAAGAGATGCCTTTAAAATGTATATTTCTGAATAAAAATGGTTTTCATGTCCCTTTTAAACACATAACTTTAAAAAGGAAAGCAGGTACTCATAAATATATTTTAAACTTTTTATTGGTTACATTAAATCACATTAAATTATTTGGGTTTGTAATAGTTTGATTGTAAGGAATTATTTTAAAAACATTAAGGAGTTTATATTCATAAAGAATAATATATTAATAACAAAACAACTGAAAACAGTATAGAATAAATCACTTAAGTATTTATTGAGGACCTACCAACTCTATACTATGGAAATGGATGGGAAGGGGACATAAAAGGAGTTGTGGCTGTATCTAAAAAATTTTTTCAAGTCTTGCTACTTTATGACAGTATTTTGAAAATGATATTTAGCGATCAGGTTATATGTAGTTATTGGAGAGGATGTGCACTGGCTTTTTTCAATAAAAATAAAGATTTAACCAGAATTGAGATAACTGAAATGCAGTTAAGCAGAGAATCAAATTTAATAATAAAGGAAAAAGTGACAAAACAAGGTGAGATCAGATATATGTCAAAAGAAAAAAATTGGAACCTTCTTTCAGCTCAGTTATTAAAAGGTAAGTTGGTTCTTATAAAATGGAGATTAGAGTGGATCATACAGTCTAAATAAGAACCAAAATACAAAAGCAGGAAAAAAATGATATATATGATCTTGACTGAAAGCAAAAAATACTGGAAAGATGTTTACCTCTGTTTTATGCAAAAAATATGACCAAATAGGTAGGATGAAGTCTGGCCATTCTCGCTTTTAAGGAGCATTCCGGCTGTACTTCTTCCAGAATAGATTTGTTCATTCTGCTGCCAGTCCACAGTATTTTCAGTATCCTTTATCAACATTACAATTCAAAAGTGTCAACTCCTCTTCTGGTTTCCTTATTCATTCCCCAGCTTTCACTTGCTCATGAGGTAATGGAAAATTCTATGGCTTGGGTCGGGCACACCTTAGTCTTCAAAGTGACATCTTTGCTCTTCAGCACTTTAAAGAGGCCTTTTGCAGCATATTTTCCCAGTGCAATATGACATCTGATTTCTTGACTGTTGCTTCCATGGGCAGTAACTGGATTCAAGCAAAATAAAATCTCTGACAATTTCAGTCTTTTCCCCATTTATCATGATGTGGCTTATTTGTCCAGTTGTGAGGATTTTCGTTTTCTTTATGTTGAGGTGTAATCTATACTGCAGACTATACTTTCTGATCTTCATAAGTAAGTGCTTCAAGTCATCTTCACTTTCAGCAAGCATAGTTGTGTCACCTGCATATTGCAGCCAAAATGCTCGTTGGAAGCAAGAATGGCCAGACTTCGTCTCACCTACTTTGATCATGTTGTCAGAGGGGCCCATTCCCTGGAGAAATATATCATTCTTGGTAGAGGGTCAGTGAAAAAGGGGAAGACCCTAAATGAGATGGATTGACACAGTACCTGCAGCGATGGCCTCAAGTATAGCAAGTACTGGGAATGGTGCAGAATTGGGCAGTGTTTCATTTAATTGTATATAGAGTTGCTATGATTTGGAGTCAACTCGATGGCACCTAACAACAACACAACATGAAGAAGATAAAGATTATGAACCAGAATAATCTCTTGTTCACTTATAAAATAATCATCTATACAAATGGTTAAAATATGCTAGTTTTTCCCCCTAATATTCACCGAAAGTCTAGAAGAAAATACCAACTTTGGAAAACTTAAGAATTTAGATTATGGACAGCCTACCTATATGCATTTGTGTACATATTAAAAATAAGCTTATTCCTTCAGCATGAAAGACCAGCTGTATATTTGTGTGATCAGATGTATAATGTAGACTGGTATTTATTATGAATCAGTGATTTACAAACATGAATCCTTTTTGAAATGGAGAGTGAAAATATCTCAGGCTTCAAGAATATGTCTGTGGGCCTCACTTTAAGAAGCACAGACCTAAAAAACAAGGGGCTTTTAGAAGTATTATAATTAGAAAAAGTGCTAAAGATCAGTATTTTTAAGAAATTTTTGAACCATCATTTGTATATTTTAAAACAAATCTTTACACTTGATATATATTATAGTCGTTCTTGTCTGATGTAATTAGATAAGATTTTCACAACAGTCTGAGAAGCTGTTTGAAGACACTGTCAAAATTATTTTCTTGAACTAAAAATTTATCTTTGAAATTTTAGGACTCTTCAGACAAAACTAGGTCCAGTCTTCCAGGAATAAAAGTCTTATTTTTGTAAATCCATAACTAACTTTAAAAGCTGAGGTCTTTATATATGCTTTCCTGGTGCTCTGAGATTATTTTATAAATTGTGGAGAGGGCAACATGAGATGAGGTTTACCTCCCTATTTGGGTTGACAATTCTTATATCAGAAACTTAGGATTTCTTCTTTTGATTATGTATTGAATTCAGTTAAATAAATATGTATTATTTTGTTACTTTCATCTTCATAAATCCAAAAGCACTAGATAAAATGAAGACATTGTTGAAGATTGGAAAATAATGAAAAATTATGAACAAGTTTATAGTAGTAATTAGTAATGAAAACATGGCTTGTAATGGAAAAAAAGTGAAAAATTTGTATACTTTGTTATCAACTGAATAAAGATTATTTCAGGCTTAAATACTTGATAACTCAGACACCTAATGTAGATTTTTATCTTTAGAATATAATTTAGATTAAGAGCGATCACTAGATCTATGTAAGAAAAACGTATATGTGCTCTGGTGTATTTCAAAGTATTTATATGCATCTAAACAATCTGTTTCCACTTTTACCACCAAATCTACAAGTTCTTTCTTATACTTGTGCTCATATGACTTATGTAATTCTAATCATATCTAAGCTTAAATATGATAACCTTAGTCTATTCTCATTATTTTAGTAGTTAATTTTATTTATGATAGGCATTATGTTGCTATAAAGTGAACATTTCACTTTTCAGCCTTTCTTAGTTCTCAGAAAATTGGGGCCATGGTTTAAATTGAGGCTTTTAAATAGTAGTGATTGTATATGGTATTAAATTTTTCTTAATTGGGATGGCACACATTTATTGAAGTTTGAAGATAATTTCATTAGTTATCTGTAGATTATAAAGTTCAGAAGTTTCTTTATAAATGCTGTGCATGGGGTCACTATGAGTCGGAAACGATTCAACGGCACCTAACAACAGTAACATATCCATAATAACATATATGTATCTATATAATCTGTGTGTGTGTATATATATATACACACACACATACATATATGTGTGTGTATGTGTGTGTGTATCCCTTTGAACACTCAATATTGTTGTTGTTGTTGTTGTTAGGTGCTGTCGAGTCAGTCCCAACTCATAGCGACCCCTCCTTGGGTTTCCAGGGCGGTATCACTACTGATTGTCCAACCTTCCTTCCGAGGAGTGTCTAGTGGGTTTGAACTGCCAGCCTTCTGGTTAGCAGTCAAGTGCCTTAGGCACTACACTAACAGCTATTGGTGAGATTACTGAATCAACATTCTCTGATTGGAAAAGTCAGCTTTAGTTAAATGGCCCCCAAAAGTTCCATTTTCACAAATCTTCTGTAATCAACCTATAATCAATCACCATTTTCTTTATTAAACAGTTTTGAGATCTGTTATCCATACTGATGATTTGCCATTGGAATCTTTATGGTAATGCCTGAGATCAGGAAGTAGCTTTTATTTCAGATATCCTCAAATAAACTTTCATGATGGCATGACAGTTAGCAGCTGCCTGACCTAAAGATTGATGGTTCACATCTTACTAATGTCTCCAGGGGAGAAAGACACCGTGATCTATCCCCATATAGTTTACATCCTAGAAAACTGTGGGGCAGTTATTTGTCACATGAGATTACTAAGAGTTGTAATCTACTCAGCACCTGACAACAACAGAATGAATTTAGAAAAAGAAGGTATGCCCTCTCCCTTTCTCTCTTGTATTTCTCTTTTCTTCCTTCCTCCTTCCTATATTATCCTCTCTCTGTGTCCCCCTCTCATATACTTCATAACTTTTTCTTTCCTCATATCAGGCCATTTTCTAATCTGCAATTTTAAATTATAATTTTTATTATGATTCCTATGTTTTCTTAGTACCCCAGATTATAATGGTGACTTACTATAAATCTTATTAAATAGATGTATTCTGTGCCTTAGTGTTTGTGGCCTTAGTCCATCTTTCTTATAAGGTTGTTTTTGCATTTAAAACTTTCACTTGAGTTGAATCAATATCCACAAAGATTACATTCGTCCTCTCCTCCTCTTACTTGCTTTTCAGTTCTGCCACAAAAATCTTTCTGATTATATGTCATAGTTTTGGGAATGATGTATATCTATTTTCCTGCTATAATTCTCTTAATTCAAAAGTGCATTTGTTAGTGATCTTTCCCATTATAACCTATTTCAAATATGTATTTTCTACTCAGGAATATGGTATAACTAAAGCTGAAAAACTGGAGATTGCCAAAGGCTACTGTACTCCTCTAGTTAGAAAAATTCGTTCTGACCTTCAGAGGACACAAGATGATGACACTGTAAATAAACTCCATCCTGTGTAAGAAACTACTGATTATTCACATCTGTAGTTGTGTGTTTTTGCATACTTCAAACTAAATTATTTTTTAATGTTTCTATGAAATCAGGAATTTGACAGTGGCACACCAGGAATATAAAAATTACTTAGGGTAGCACAAATGATTACATGGTGAACTACTAGGTGAAAAGTTGGGAATTCAAACCCAACTCTGGGTACCTCAGGAGACAGGCCTGGCTGTCTGCTTCTGAAGGGTGACAGCCTTGAAAACCCTATGAAGCAGTTCTGTTCTGCACATATGGGGTCCCCATGAGTCAGAATCAACTCATTGACACTTTAAAACAACAGACATTCCTATTAGTCAGCTCTCAGCCAAATTTCATTTTGGTTCCGAATTGGAGAAAAACTGACATGAAAGGGAAAAAACAGCTATGGGTCATCTGTTAAACTCTACCCCATTCAGCAGTAGAAACACTTTGAACTTCTTTAGGGCTGTGACCTCTGTCATTGCTAATAGAGAAGCTTGTTGTTGTTGTTATGTGCCATCGAGTTGGCCCCGACTCAGTGACCCCTCTTTGGGTTGCCGAGGCAGTATTACTATGGAAGTAGATTGCCCAGTGTTCCTTCTGAGGAGTGGCTAGTGGGTTTGAACTGCCAGCCTTCTGATTAGCAGTCAAGTGCCTTAGGCACTATGCTACCAGAGCTCCTAATAGAGAAGCTAAGGGACCTGTTTATAGCAAACTTGATTAATATTAAATCTTTTCTTCCTTGACTAATATCAGAGGTCCCAGCTAGTCTCAGTTAGCTTAATATTAGAGGAATATCTGCTGAGATAATTTATCATCTAGTTGGAAAAGTGATAGATTTACTTACTACTTAGCATTTGACTACTGACCATAAGGCTGGTGGTTCAAACCCACCAGCCACTGCTCAGAAAGAAAACTAGGCAATCTACTTCCATAAAGATACCGCCTCAGAAACCCAAGAAGGGGTCAGTATGAGTTGGATTTGACTCAATGGCAATGAGTTTAGTAGCATAGTTATTTACTTATATTTTAATACTTGTCTGCTTTTGACTTTAGGTATTCCAGAGGTGTTCTGTCCCCTGATCGTCATGTTCGTACTAGATTATATTTCACCAGTGAAAGTCATGTACATTCTTTACTGTCTATTCTTCGCTATGGTGCCTTATGCAATGTAAGTAGAATAAGTCATTCTGTTAAAATGAACAAATATGTTGCCTTTAATTGGTTACTGTGAAGTTTTTATAATTTGTTAATTTTTGCAATTCATCATTTTTCAAGTGTCCACCATATCCCAAGCAATGTGCTAAATATTAGGGGTAAAGACATGTTCTTTTCCCTTCAGAGAAGATCCATTTAAACATACAATATAAAGCATTTTAGATGCTGTTTTAGGCTGGTGACAGTGGTTAAAAAGTAAAAAGCAGCTGATGTGTTTGAGTTATTAAGGGATAGAACTGACAGGACTTGGTATGTGGCTGAACATTGTGCATGTTATATACTGTTAGAAAATAAGTGATACTTAAACTTACTGGCTTAAAACAGCCATAATGATTTTGCTTTTGTTTCTTTCAGTTTAAAGAGTTGGTGGGTTAGGCAATTTTCACTCAGTTCTAATGAACTTGTCATCAAATAGTTGCAGGGCTCTAATTATCTCAGAGGTTTTTTCTCGTGTCTGATGCTTGATACTGGCTGTCTACTGGAACCTCAGCTGGAATTGTCAACCAAAATACCTACATTTGGCCTCTTCATGTGACCTGCTTCCTCACAGGCAGCTGGCAGCTGTGTTCCCAGGACAAACTTCTAAGAGAAAAATATCCTAGTGCATTACATTTTTATGATTTAGTTTCTGTAGTTAAAAGTGTCATTTCTGCTGAGCTCCATTGGTTGAGACAGTTACAAAGTTCTATCCAGGTTCAAAGAGAAGGAAAATAAACCCATACCACTAGATGGATAGAGTGTCAACATCACTTTTTTAAAAGAGTACATGAAATTGGACATAATTTTGCAGCCATCTTTAGAAAATACAGTCTACCACTTTGAGCTTTTTTTGCTGCTTCTTGGTCATCATAGCCTATATTTGCAGCTGAGTAGTTTTCTCAAACTCCTTCCTTTTCTAAGAAGTTTAGGAATCCAAAAGTCTGTTCATTTTCAGTTGAAGATGATGTAATATTTTTTTTAAAAAAAAACCTTGTGCGCTTTTTTGTTATCGATGTGTAATCTGATCCATTGGATTATATACCATAAATCTGTTAAGGATGAGCCCTTTCTGTTTTATTCTCCTATAAGACATTCTCATAAGATCTTTGGAAAATCTTTTGTCTCCATGAAAGGGTTTTTGAGGCACTTCCATAAATCTTTGTGAAGTCTTAAAGTCTATTTTTCTATGATATTAAAATAACCATCCCTGCTCTGTTTTGGTTACTATTTGCATGGAATATTTTTTCCATTCTTTTACTTTCAAACTATTTGTGTCTTTGGGCCTAAGATACATTGTAGACAGCATGCTTATCTGCTCCTCTTTGTCTTTTGGTTGGAGTTTTACTCTATTTACCTTTCCGGAAATATTTTCCTCTGCCATTTTCTTTTTTGTATTTTATATGCCTTATATTGTCTTTTCGGAAGGAAGGTTAGGCAATCTACTTGCGTAGTGATCCTGCCTCGGAAACCCATGGAGGGGTCGCTGTGAGTCCAGTCTGACTCGACGGCACATAACAACAACAACAAATAATGTCTTTGTCTCTTATTTCCTTCATTACTGCCGATATTTGTGTTAACTATTTTGATTCCCTTTTCCTTTCCTTTTGTGTATGTGTGTGGATAGATAGATAGATAGATAGATGATATATATATATTTTTTCCCCATATTTTCTTTGTGGTTACCATGAGTATTACATTTAACACCTTACTAAACATAACAACCTGATTTAAATTGATACCATTTTAACTTCAGTGACAAACGCTGTATTCCTATATCATCCCCACCCCATTTATGCTGTTGTTATCACTAATTGCATCTTTATACATCATATGCCTTATAACATAAATTTGTACTTATTTTTTATACATTTATCGTTATAAAACATGGAAGATATAACAACCAGATTTACCAACAAAAATACTTTATATCAGACCTTTTTATATTTTCCCAAATTATGGATAGCATTCCAGAGAATAGGAAAGAATAGGAATTCCAGAACACTTAACGGTGCTCCTGGAGACCTGTACATAGACCTAGAGGCAGTCGTTGGAACAGAGCAAGGGGATAGTGTGTGGTTTAAAATCTGGAATGGTGTCCATCAAGGTGGTATGCTTTCGTCATACTTTTCAGTCTGTATGCTGAACAGATAATTTTAGAAGCTGGACAGTATGAATAAGAATATGGCATCAGGATTGGAGGAAGGCTAACAAATTGCAATATGCAGATTACACAACTTTGCTTGCTGAAAACAAAGAGGACTTGGAGCACTTACTGATGAAGATCAAAGACTGTAGCCTTCAACATGGATCATAGCTCAACATTAAGAAAACAGAGATCCTCACATCTAGACCAGTAAGCAACATCATGATAAATGGAGGAAAAAATTGAAGTTGTCAAGGATTTTATTGTATTGATCCACAGTCAATATCCATGGAAGCAGCAGGCACATTTGCTGCAAAAGACTAATTTAAAAGTGTTATAAAGCAAAGATGTCACTTTGAAGACTTAGCTGTAGTATTTTTGATTACCTCATATATATGTGTGAAAGCTGGACAGTGAATAAGGAATACTGAAGAAGAATGGGTGCATTTGAATTGTGATGTTGCAAAGAATTTGAATATACCATGGACTGCCAGAAGAATGAACAAATCTGCCTGGAAGAAGTATAGCCAGAATGCACCTTAGAAGAGAGGATGGTGAGACATTGTCTCACATAATTTAGTTATGTTAGGAGGTACCAGTTGCTGGAGAAGAACATCAGGCTTGGTAAACTAGAGGGTCAGCAAAAAAGAATATGACCCTCAGCAAAATGGATTGACACAGGGGCTGCAACAATGGTCTCAGACATAACAATGACTTTGAAGATGGCACAGGACTGGACAGTGTTTTGTTCTGTTGTACATAGGGTGACTGAGTTAGAACAGACTCAGCAGCACCTAATCACAGCATCATAGTTTCCTATGAAATTACCTTTAATGAGGATCTTTTTTTTATGTATGGCTTTGACTCACTGTGTAGTGTCCTTTCCACTCATTCATGAAGGACAGTTTTGCTGGATATAATATTCCTATTTGACATTTCTTTTAGCAATTTATATATACCATTCTACTCACTTCTGGCCTCTTTAAGATTTCTGAGGAGGAATTAACAATTTTAGTAGGGATCTTTTCTGTTTGGCAATTTACTTCTCTTTTGCTGCTTTCAGAATTCTCTCTTATCTTTAATTTTGAAGGGCAAGATGGTAATGTGGCTTGGTGTGAACCTTTTTGGGTTCATGTTATTTGGAGGTCAAGGAGCTTTTTGGATTTATAGATTTATGTCTTTGGCACATATTCTGCTACTCTTAAAATATTCTCTCTGTCCCTTTTCTTTCTTCTGGAATTCCCATGTTGCATGCATTTGGTAATTCACTTGATGGTATCTTACATTTTCATTAGCCTATATTCAGTAGTCTGGGTCCTTCCTTGTTGTTCTTCAGGTGCAATAAGTTTGATGAACTTATCCTATAGTTGGCTAATTGCCTCTTCTGCCAGCTCAAATCTGCTGCCAAGTTCCTCCAATGAGTTTTTCATTTCAGTTATCTTTCACCTCCAGTATTTCTGTGTGGTTTCTTTTTATAGAACCCATCTCTTTCTTTATATTCTTATTTTGTTTATGCGTCATTTCCTTTATTCCCTTTAGTTCTTTGTCTGTATTTTCCTTTAGTTTTTTGAGTATGTTTCATATTGCTGTGTTAATTCTTCTAATCTGTTCATTATTAGGAATTCCATGGACAATTTTTTTTCTCTTTGCCTTGTTCCTTTGAATGTGTCATAATTTCCAGTTTCTTTGTGTGCACTGTGATTTTTGTTTGAATCTTAGACATAAGTATATTATAGTATGTTAGCTTTCTCTATTTCCCCATATACTCAGTGCTTTTGAAAACCAATGTATTTCTTAGGTTGCCACAGACTTCAAGCCTTGCTCACTCTTCCTTCACCTACTCTGTGAGAATCTTGATTGAAGAGGCCAGATTGAGATTTCAATTCTTCAGACTTCTTCCACACTGATCAGAACATACACACTGAACAGTCTGCCAGCAGGATCTGTCCTATTTACTTTGGACCTAGGAACTAGGGCCCTTTTTAGTGTACATGTTACCTGTGGCTGTGTACAGCAGCCAGATAGCTGCTGGGAGAGGGAGAAACAGAAACAGTGGGAGAAAAGATTTTTCTGCTATTTAAAATTTTCTTGCTTCAGTTTGCATCTTGTTTTTACATCCTTGCTTACTTTTTCAGAATTCTTACAGAGTTGAATATAGATTTCTACTTACTTTTCTTGGGTATTTGTTTGAGAAGGTCAAGATCTTAGACCTGCTCATGCTGTCATCTTTCCAAAAGTTCTGAGGTCTTAACAGAGTGTTTTA